AATAAATAAATAAATAATTCAATATGAGTTTTACAGTTGAGCGGGAATTTCTGTAACTACTGTGCAATCAAGCAAATGTAGTAATTCTGATAATAAAATTACACAGCTGTTTACAGCGCATAGTTCTCACCTTGTCGCCAAACCGTATACTTCTTTACGTGGAAGGAAACATCCTCGACGTCGTCACTTCTCGAACCATTGAAACAGCCTGAAAGTTGAATTACGTGAATATCGGGCGACACATGATAGCAATTCTAGCGGCAAATATTGGGGTCAAAGACATCCAGAACGGAGACGTGTACTTTATGTCAGTTTCTCAGAGGCAGAAGTCGCTCCATGAATAGAGAGGGGCAAATCCAAATCATTGTTATGGCGAATCATCAGCCGAAAACATTGGCAACTGCAATCCTCCACTCGGGTCTCATTCTATGGTGCAAATAGTCCTACCTACATCTTAGCTCAGCCTACCTGAATTTCTCTACCAAATTCGCCATCACCGAGCTACATAGTTGGTGGGGAAATAGGTGTACACATACTAAAGCCAAGATGAGAGAAATCTCGAAATTCCTGTCAAATTTCCGCCAACCTTCCAAAAGTTCCGGGGAATTCCTGGAAAATTTCAGAAATTTTCATGAACTTCATCGCTTCCTGAAACATTCCTCAACCTCTGAGAAATTCCTGTCTTCATATCTAGAAATGCTGATACCACCTAACGCTGCCCTTCCTGTTAGAAAATACGATCCCGCTCCCTCGCTTCCAGTAATCATCCATGATGGCCCCTCTGATCACTGCCCAATGATCCTGTACTCCGACAGCTACCTCAGCGGGAGTTAGCATTGTTATGATCAGAAGAAAACCAGTAGAATAATTGACCTTTAGGTTCGAATTCGTGCTCGAAGCCCATTTCTTTGGATGTTGCAGTACTTGAGCAGTCCTTTTCCCAGCACAAAATGTCCACTCTTAATCGAATCGCCATACTCGTCCACACAGCCTGAGAAAATCATAAGATAAAACTTCTATTTCGCTTGACTAGCCCCTTTCTCTTCCCAGAAAAGGCTTTATTTTCCAAATTCTCAAAAGATCTGTCAAAAGGGAAAAAACCTTTGAATCGTTTTGAAATGCAGCAGATCAGAAAATTTCCGATAGTGATATCATCGGACCCATCAGCGAATTCTGGACATGAATTGACCGATACTTCTTCGCCAGAGCCTGAATCACCAAAACAGTAGTCTTTCCTTTTCTCTGGGTGACGCTACAATGCTGAGCGTTGTACATCCCCATTCCTTCTCGAACGTCATTCTCATGAGGGATAGCTAACGCATCTAAAGGCACACCCCGCGATCAAATTGGTGTGATTCTTGCGGTGAAACTGAAATCAGGGCTATGAAGGTGGGAGGTAATAAAGAAAAGAAAGTGAGTGCGTTGAAAAAGCTAAATTGAGGGCCGACTTATTATTGAACTCGGTTATGCTGAGGCTGCGAGATTCTGAGCGTAGAGAGAATTGCGTAGCACAATGGACAAGGAGAGGGGGCACCAATTAGCTGCAGACCAGAACAACATGGAAGCGGTTGAAGCGGTCTGTGCCAAGCTTATTCGTCTCTATCGCTCACCTTCGAGCCGGGAGAACGGGACATGAGCGTGGACAGTGCTAACCTACCCAGCAAAAAGGCTCCTCCAACTAAACTTATCGTGGGGTGTGCCTTTAGAATTCTACGCATCCCTCGCTCCCAAAATCAGAGCAAATCCTTGCAAGTAAACCTTCTATCGTTGGCTCATCATCCATGCATGAATATTCAACGCCATTCTCCACATGCGAAGTGGTGCCCAACTCAAGTACCGTACCAGCGTCTGTTAGGCAGCTTAACACCTAAAAATATTGATTTATTTATTTATTCTTACGCTCAGTATCAATCACTGGGCGTGCAAAAATCATGCGATCAGTGCGATGTATTGAAAAACCATGGCACAGTAGGCAAAAATAATAAAATAAATATTGAATCAATTTTCTGACCACCTCTTGGAAAAACCCTTGTCAGATTTTGCGAATCCAGCAAAAGCTTACAGCAGAATTGGTGTGAACAGGCTCTACACTAGGTTGGTGCAAAACTGCACCAAATGGTGTCGAGGCCAAAAAAAGAATATCACATTTGTTATCGGACCACCGAAGACTTTCCTATGGGTTAAAATTTTTTGACTTCTTTTAAAGACTTTTTTGAGGTTTCGAGGGGTCAAATAGTTTCAGAATTCATGAATTAGTGCTCAAAACTCATTATACCTTGGTTTCTCCAACCGTACATGTGACGAGGAAATTTCCATTGCGGACCCATTTCTCGCCTTCAGCATGTTCAACGCCGTTATCGACACACACGGCGTAGGCAGATGGAAGAAGAAAGAGCAGGATTGACAGCATTCGCCTGGAAACTGTTATCGTCGTCATAATCGAAGTACATCGTTCGCAAAGGTGAACTCGCTCAATGTTATTAGGAATCAGAAAATTTCACTCAGCCCGACAACACTGAAAAGGGGGGCTCTTAGATACTACGTAGTATGGGTTTCACATTTCGAATTATTCGCTACCTTCATGCAGGGTCAACCGTTACGTTGGACCGATATTGGAGCGACGTTGGACCGATGTTCACCGCTCTCCGCGCCGGCATTCACTCTCGCCACCCGCGAGCCGTCTGTGTCTCCGTGCGTACGTTCACTCTCGGCATTACTCTCGTCGTCGCGTTGGACTTTGTCCAACGGACGGTTGACCCTGCTCTGAGTTCACCACGTAGCTACACTGTTGAGCATCCCTCCCGCTTTTCGCTCCATACTGACGAACAATGAACATGACCATTTTCCTCCTCGTAAGGCTCTCCTTCATCGAGCCCAAGTGGCGTAGAGGTAAGTGGTGCTGTTACCAAGCTCGGGGATCAAAGTCTGGATCTTACTCCGTCTAGGCCAA